AGACCTGCCTGGCACTAACCCTCTGCTTGGTTAAGCTGCAGTTTGCTACAAATCTGTAGGTTCAGGACAGCCAGGGACGTCCAGAGCCTGTGAACTGAAAATTTCTTTCTTCCTCTTTCTACCTGGGTTCATGTGGATGAAAAGACAGAAAAAAATGAAAAAGTTTAGAAAAAAGAATTCTACAAAGATAAGCCCTTGGTCCTCCTTATCAACTATCAAAGTGAAGAATGACTATCATCTTACAGACAACAGTGCATCATCATTGCTGAATTCAAAAGAACCATTAGAAGACATTTTAACCTCCTTGAGATCTGAAAATTTTGTCTTTGGCATTTTGTTCCAACTATTTATTTTCATCCATAATACCTGTGTTAAACCATCTGCCTTTTGTGTTAATTGTCTCTTAATTGTTAATGAATATGTGTTTATTTGGGATTTAATGGGATACAGTTCAAATTGTAGAGTGTACATTAGGAATCCTTTATTTTCTCTGCCATATCTGCAATTATAGTGCATTTATAATAAATAACTATTGCCTTTGTCCCGAATCAGTTAGGTCAATTGACCATCTGGATAGTCACATATGTGAATTTACACATTTGTTATAGCTTGTGGAAAAGTGGGACAAGATTATCAACCATAGCCTTACCAGTGCATACAGCTGCTCTCTCACTAGAGAGATGACTGGTGGTGGTTTAACCAACATAATGGAACAGTTGAGAAGGAGAATCCTTTATGGTAACCTCGCTAGTGCAGGAATTGAATCCACACCCACAAATTGTACAGCCAAATGAGCTAAACCAACACCCTTGATTATCAGCACTCTCCTCCCAGGAAGGTCATGAGTAAGAAAAACTTTTCCCATTAGCTGATGGTACCAGGACTGTGGAATGAACAAGAGTTGCAGCAGGTTGTGACACATTTTAAGAATATGTTCTTAAGGCTGAGTAATTTAGAGCCATTGAGATCTACAGCACTGAAAAAGACCCTTTGGCCCACTGTGTCTGCACTGGTTAAAAAAACCACCTAATTCTTCTAATCCAATTTTTTTATCACTTGGCCTACACCATCTAAATACTTCTTAAATGCTATGAAGATTTCCATCTATACCACACTTACAGACAGTGAGTTCTGATTTCCACTATCTTCTGGGTGAAAAAAGTTTTCCTCCCATCTCCTCTGCCCCTTACCTTACATCTGTGCTGCCTGGTCATCAAGGTGAAATGTTTCTTCCTGTCTACCTTATGTCCTTCATAATTTTATACATCTCAATCATGTCCCCTTCTCAACCTCCTCTGCTTTAAGACAACACCAACCTGTCTAATCTCTCCTCATAACTGAAACTTTTCAGACCAGGCAACATCTTGGTTAATCTCCTCTGTACCCTTTCCAGTGTTACCTCATCCCTTTTACAATGTGGATTCCAAAAATGCACACAAATCATTGAATTAGATTCATGGAAATTAGGAGAGTCAACGTTTGATGGATGAAATCAAAATTGGCTTAAGGACAGTAAAGTGAGTTGCGGTGAATGGTTGTTACTCAAACTGGAGTAAGAAATTTCTCAAAAGAAATTCCCTCCATACCCAATAACAGCCTAATCAACCAATGGTAATATATCTCTCCTCAGATAAGGGGTCAAAACTGTTCACAGTTTTTTTTTGTATAGAATTCCTACCACGTGGAAACAGGCCCTTCGGCCCAACAAGTCCACGTTGAACCTCAGTGCATCCCACCCAGACCCATCCCCTTATAACCCACCTAATCTACACATCCCTGAACACTACAAGCAATTTAGCATGGTCGATCTGCCTAGCCTGCATATCTTTGGACAGTGGGAGGAAACCGGAACAAACCCACGCAGACACAGGGAGAATGTGCAAACTCCACATAGGCAGTTGCCCAAGGGTGGAATTGAAGTTGGGCCCCTGGTGCTGTGAGGCAGCAGTGCTAACCACTGAGCCACTGTGCTGCTCCACAGTAATCCACCAGTGGTCTCTTTAGTGCCTTGTATGATTTTAGCATAACTTCCTTACCTTTAAACTCCAATTTCCTTTCATATAAAGGTCATTTGTCTTCACAATTATCTGCTGAATTTGATCCTAGCTTTTTTGTAGTTTATGCATGAGGACTCCCAAATCCCTTGTTCAATAACTTTTTGCAGTCTTTCTCCATTTAAATAATATTCAGTTCCTCTTTTGTTCCTGCCAAAGTACATAATCTCACATTTCCCCACGTTATATTCCATCTGCCCTGTTTTTGCCCACTCACTTAACCTGTCTCGATCCCTCTTGTAGCCTCTCTGACAGCATGGATTGATGAAAGATAAATCATGCTTGACAAATCTACTGGAATTCTTCAAGAATATGACTCATAGAGGTGATGAGGGGGCAACTGTGGATGTAGCTTATTTAGATTTTTAAAAGGCTTTTGACAACATCCCACATTAGACATTAATGTACAAAATCAAAGCGCGTGGAATTGTGGGGTAGTGTATTGAGAAAGCTGGTTGGCAGACAAGAAACAAAAGTTTTGGAAACAGTTCATGTTGTAAAGGAGGAAGTGTCGGTGTTCTTAAAAGATATTGTGTTCAGTTCTGATCACCTCATTGTAGGAAAGATGTGGAAGCTTTAGAGACGGTGCAGCGGAGATTTACCAGGATGCTGCCTGGCTGGACAGCAGGTCTTATGAGGAAAGGGTGAGGGAGCTAGAGCTTTTTTCATTGGAGCGAAGAAAGATGAGCGGTGACTTGATAGAGGTGTACAAGATGATGAGAGGCATAGATAGAGTGGATAGTCAGAGACTTTTTCCCAGGGCGGAAATGACTATGATGAGGGGGCATAATTTTAAGATTATTGGAGGAAGGTATAGGGGAGATGTCAGAGGTACGTTCTTTACGCAGAGAGTGGTGGGCGTGTGGAATGTGCTGCCGGCAGTGGTAGTGGAGTCAGATACTTTAGAGACTTTGAAGCGACTCTTGGATAGGCACATGGAGGATAGTAAAAAGTAGAGTATGAGGGGGAGATTGATCTTACTAGGATAATAGGTCGGTACAACATTGTGCGCCAAAGGGCCTGTACTGTGCTGTGCTGTTCTATGTTTTATGTTCCATGTTCTATATAAACGTGGATAATTCTCTGTGTCCTGAGCTTGTGTATCCCAGGACATTGTGAAAGTTAGGGAGGAAATTGTGAGCCTCTTGTGGAAAGATTTGCATCATCTCTAAATACTGGTGAGGTGTCTAATGACTGGAGAATGGTTAGTGTTTGCATCTGTTTAAAAAGTGATGTAAGGAGAAACCTGGGAACCATCGACCTGTGAGACTTTGCATTTGGAGAGGCAAGGAATAATTAAGGATAGTCAGCATGGTTTTATGCAAGAGAAATCGTGTCTCACAAACTTCGTTGAGTTTTTGAGGAAGTAACCAAGAAGATTGATTAAGTCACAATAGTACATGTTGTTTACTTGGAGTTTAGTGAAGCCTTCAACAAGGTTCCATGTGGCAGACTAATTAATAAAGTTAGATTACCTGGGATTCAGGGTGAGCTTGTCAATTGGTCCTTTTTCAAATGGCAGGCCATGACTATTGGGGTACCGCAGGGATCAAGGCTCGAACACCAGTTATTCACAATATATATAGATAAGGCAACTAAATGTAATATCGCCAAATTGACAAATGACACAAAACTGGGTGGGAGGGTGAGCTGTGAGGAGGATGCAGAGTTGCTTCAGTGTGATTTGGATGAGATGAGTGAGCGGGCAAATGCAGAATAATGTGGATAAATGTGAGATTATCTATTTTGGAGCAGTTTATCTTGAAGGCTGAATGGCTATAAATTGAAAGGTGGGGAATGTGCAATGAGACTTGGGTATGCTTGTGCACCAATCAGTAAAGGTAAGCATACAGGTTCAGCTGATGGTAAAGAAGACAAATGCTACGTTGTCCTTCATAGCGAGAAGATTTGAGTATGGGAGCAGGGATGTCTTGCTGCAATTGTACAGGGCCTTGATGTATTTGTAACAATGACAGAAATTTCTGGAAAAGCTCAACAGGTCTGGCAGCATCTGTGGAATGAAATCAGAATTAATGTTTCGGGTCCAGTGACCCTTCTTCAGAATTGAGTATTTATATTCAGTATTGAACTCTATCTGAGAGATGAAACTCTGGCAATGGAGGAAGTACAACAAAGGTTTACCAGATTGATTTCTGGGATTGCAGAACTGATGTATAAAGATAGACTGGATCAATTTGGACTGTATTCATTGCAGTTTAGAAGAATGGCAGGGAATCTCAAAGAAAGCGATAAAATTCTAACAGGACTCTACAGGGTAGATGCAGGAAGGTTATTCCTGACGGCAGGGGAGCCCATAACCAAGGATGACAATCTAACGGTATGGGTAAACCATTTAGGACTGAAATGAAGGGAAATTTCTTCACCCAGAGTGGTAAGCCTGTGGAATTCACTACTACAGAAAGCATTCAAGGCTAAAACATTAATTGATCTCAGGAAGGAATTGGTTATAGCACTTGGGCCTAAGGGATCAAAGGATATGGGGGAGAAGCAGAAATGGTCTGCTGAGATAGATGATATACCATGATTATAGCGACAGGTTCAAAGGACCAAATGGCCAACCCTGATCTGATTTTCTCTGTTCCTAATCCTCACTACTTGCCTTCCCACCTATTTTTGTCTCATCTGCAAACTTGACAATGGTACATTCCCTTGCCTCATCCAAATCATTAATATATATTGTAAATAACTGTGGTCCCAACACTGATTTCTGTGACACACCACTAGTTACAGGTTGCCATCCTGAAAATTGTTTGTGTTCTCCTGGATGAGGAGGTGAAGATATTCCTAATAAGTATAGGCAGGTTAACATCAGTGATAGCTAAGTCAGTGACACCCAGCTCCCTTAAAATAAACACTGATTGGTGTACAAATATTTATATTTATATCTTTATTCTGCAACATTCAACAGATTTCTATATCCCTCGAGTAGCAGGATCAGAACATGCAATGTAATGTGCCATTATCAAGTGTCATTTTTTTTATCAGCAGGTTTTGTATTCACACTCTGTTTGCAGGTGCAATATCTAGTTGGTGCTTTGCTGAGTGGGTCAGATCTGTCTCCCTTGTTTTTGGCCACTCCGACTCGGTTGAGGTTGTCTCTGGCTTTACCACTCGTGCACCGATGACGTGGGCAGTTTAGAAGCAGGCGCCATGAAAATCAGTCACTACTCGCAGGTATGCTTTGTAACGTGCACACACTGGGTCTCCTTGCTCCACAGTTTGCCAATGCACTGCTAGCTGCTTCGCGATTCCCTCCACCATCACCGGAATCTTCATCTCAATGCTTGTCTCTGAGCCACCTCTGCTTGTGAGCGACTTGAGGAAAGGAAAGGTAACATAGACAAAAACGAACATTTACAAATCCCTGGAGGTGGACAGGACAGCTGTGACAGCCAGTTCACTCACACGCATCTCTGATAGTCAGGGAGTAAAATGAGTCAGGGACCCATGTCCATGCCCTTGCACTTCAGTCTATTCAACTGAGAAGGCATCAAGGCAGGGACCTGTTCTTTTCTCAGCCTCAGATTGGTGCCTGCTCACCAGAAGAGTGTCAGGACCGGAAATTTTGGCCAAATGTTTTCCCCTGCAACCCCCTGTCAATGAACTGAGATCTACATTAACTGCCTTGCTGTGTCCCTGGCTGCACTGAGCAAGTTCAATGCAACCTGTAACTGCTCAGCTCTGCCGTACTCGGTGCCACGAGAGCTGTTTTTAGAGTGCCCCCATTAACAAAGCAAATCCCAGGCTCCAGGCAGCTGGCTGTAAGCTATGACTCCTGCGGTCTACAATCTGTTTCTGGAACAAAACAAAGGAGTTAAACAAGTTGTTTTATCAATCATTCTTTTAGGTATAAATGGAAGAAAACTCACATTTATATATGGATTGTCATCATCCAAATGCAAGTTGAGGACCACAGTTTCAATCCATGCATTGTCTGTGTTTCTGGAATCATCCTCATATCCCTTATAGACCTAAAACACACACACCAGCACAGGAGATCAGCTCCGGATTCAAGTCAAATTACAGGGCAAAGGGAAAGGCAATGGAGCAAGGTCCTCACTAGATGAGCAAAGAGCTGACTGAATCGCTTCATAGAGTTATACAGAATAGAATCAGGCCCTTCAGCCCACCATGTCTATGCTGAACATTAAACAGCAAACTACACTAATCCCATTTACCTGTACTTGGTCCAAGGATACCATGCCCTGGCATTTTAAATGCTCATCCAAATGCTTCTTAAATGTTGTGAGAGTACATGCCCCCACCATCCTTTCAGGCAGCACGTTCCATATCTCTACCACACTCTGCATGAAAAAAACTCTTTCTCAAATCTTCTCTAAATGACTTACTCCTCACGTTAAACTTGTGCCCTCCAGTCTTAGACACATCTGCCATGAAGAAAAGATTCACATGATCTATCTTTTCATACCTCTCACAATTTTGTATGCCTCAATCAGACCTCCCCTCAGCCTCCTCTGTTCCAAGGAAAACAAACCCTGGGAACAATGAGACTTCCTTGCTCCTATATTCTATGTCCTGATTAATGACAGCAAGCATCCCTAAGCATTCCTTATGCCTTCTTAACCACTGTCTACCTGCATTGATACCTTCACATCAAGGTCCCTTTGTCCTTCAGTACTCACTAGGAACCTACCACTCATTGTGTATTTAATTCCCTGATTGCATCACCTCTTAAAATGCAGGACTAAATTCCATCTGCCATTTTTCTGCCTAATTTACAAGCTGATCAGTATCAGGCTGTAGCCTGCAACCATCTTCCTCACTCCAAATATTTGTGTCACCTCATTAATTATACCATCTACATTCATATCCGGCAAACTGGTTAGAACCTGTGGGTTCTTCCCCCTCCACCTAGCATCAAAGAAACCTCTGAGGACGAGATTTACACATCACACGTTACAGTGTCAATGCCGTTACCGCCTAAAGAAGAAGACATGTTTTAACTGAGACATTCTGGATGCCAAATGTGGACTGTGGTCCAGTACACACCATCAATATCCTAGGCAGGAGTTGGAGGAGCCGGACCTGGTGCATAAACTCCCCAGGAGAAGCTACAGGTAAAGGAATGAACCGATGTCCCAGGACTTAGATGGGGAGGGATGTAGTCATTGGAATGATGTCAGCCAGGTGGATCTTATAGTATACCAGTTCCCTGATTGGGGCTGTTAACTGGTCCAATCAGGGAGTCCTGGCTGACTGATATAAACAGGAGTGTCAGGGGATCTGTTCAATACAGAGCTCAATACTCAATATGACAGAAAATACAGGCATACGAGACACAGGATCACTGTCTCACACATAGCAGCATTATGGCTCAGTGTTTAGCACAGCTGCCTCACAGCACCAGGACCCTGGTTTTGATTCCACCCTATGTTCTTCCCATATCTGTGTGGGTTTCCTCTGGATGCTCTGGTTTCCTCCCACACTCCAAAGATGTGCAGTTTGGCTATGTTCCTCACAGTGTCCAAGGATGTGTAGGTTAGATGGATTAGCTATGGGAAATGCAGGGTTACAAGAATAGGTTATGGGGGTGGGTCTAGGTGGGATGCTTTTTGGATGGTCAGTGTGGACTTGATGAACTAAATGGCCTTCTTCCACACTATAAGGATTCAATGATCACAGGCTTTGCATGTCATAGGAAGATGCAGAGATGGTGAAGACTCTGATAAACCGGACCATCACAAGAGATGAGGTGAGATGTGGTGTCAGAGAAACCCAGACTATTCACCAGTACGTGCTGTGAAGTCATCCAGGCAACATGATTTAATCAAGTGGTCAGTTAAGATATGACATTATTTGCTGTTACATCTTCTGGCAGAGATCTCCTATCTACAGTCCTCAAGAGGTGACACAATCAGCAGGTTCACATTAGTAGTTCTTTGGGAGGATAGAACTTGAATATTACTGAAAAAAAGATGTAATTGATGAAGGTTTTTGTTTATCACTTTTCAGGACAATTTACAAGTAGTGCCAATGTAACTGATACACTATGAATATATATTGTCTCCTCTCAGACAGTATACATGTTGATACTTTTTACTATGGAATCTTCTATATTTTTCGGATGAGTACAAGATGAGAAGCATCCAAGAAAAGCTTCTTCTTTTCAGCAATAGTCAGGTTCACACTTTCTTAGTATTAGCCCTGGACTGGAACAGCCTGTGAAGCCTCGACTAGTTGCAAAGATAAGTGTGCCTGCCAGGTTCAAGGCTGTAAAACGGTGAGACTGCTAACTGACATTGGCACTGTGAATACCTAGTAGGTTAACATCTCTTTACAAAGCAATGAACACAGGACTTAGCTTCAACCTCTAAGGCCTTCTTCTGCAGTTTCTGAAACATGTCCAGTATCTTTTCATTTAAGATGACCATCATGTTTCTTGGGAACGTCTTTCCAGCAGCCAGAATTCCCTGAAGTGAAAGATAAAAACAGATTTTGTTCAAGGACCTCGAGTTGCATTTTCCCCAGGCTCATCCTCATCCCTCCCTGAAGGCTGTTGGATTCATCAGCAGTAATTCTCCAGTCGCTCACCCAAGGAGGTAATGTTGCCAGTCTAGAAAGTTCAAACCAGCAAGCTCTCCAGCATATTTTTCAATGATTGTCTCTCCTTTTGTCTCCCTCTCCCACTCTCTGCCATGCCTACTTTAATTTGCTGTGGTGCTCAATTTCTCTCTCAAACCCTCTCTCCTTCATCTTTATTGCTCTCTCTATCTTTCTAATATCTTTTTCTGTCTCTTCCCTCACTCCCTATCTCTCAGTCAGCCCATTGGTGCAAATTTAAAAACCAAAAGAACTGTGGATGCTGTAAATCAGAAAGAAAACCAGAAATTACTGGAAAAGCTCAGCAGCATCTGTGGAGAGAAACCAAAGTTAATGTTTCGGGTCGAGTGACTCTTTCTCAGAACTGGTTACAAATTGACTGCCATATTTCTTACATTATAACGACAATAAAGAGTTGGTTCTTAAAGAGGGCCTTAAACGAGAAAACACACACTGGAAAGATCTGAGGGAATGGAGGAGACCCACTCCAAGGAAGAGAGAGACCGCAGAGGATTGCAGGGTCAAAGAACATCGAAAGAGGAAACAGATTGAAACTAAAGTTGAGAAATTTAAAACAAAGGCATTGCTAGACCCGGCAGTGCATACAGGGCACAAGGTGGTGCAAGGTGTGCGGTGAGTGCAAGGTGCAGTTTGTGTGCAGGGCACAGGACCAGTACAGGGAATGTACTGAGAAAGTAAGTGCAGGTCATTGGGTAAATAACTCCTCAGCTCCACCCATTCTTTCTCTTTTTACTCTTCCCCCTTTCCTTCCTTCTCTTGGCCTCAGACACCTGCTCTGGAGTGGGGACACCGGCGGCTAGAGCAGGGATGCCAGCAATCAGCGACCAGAGCGGGGACGCTGAGGACCAGTGGCCGGAGCAAGAATACCAGTGGCTGGAGTGGGGATGCCAGAGATCAGCGGTCGGAGGGGGGCACAAGGGACCAGCGGCCAGAGCGAGGACGTCAGCGATCAGTGCTCCAGTGTGGAACATGGCAGCAGCCGGCAGTCAGACCACATGGAGGGCCCTGTGCTGGTCTGCTGCGGAGAGGTTTGTGAGAGAGACTGTGATGTTTGTCTTTTTAACTTTGTTTCTTGTTTTTCTGAACTATGGTTATACCGTGTATTGCTGTAATGTAACTTCTTTTTTTTCTTCATTTCTCTATTCTGTAACTAAGGATTATACCTAGGTACATTTTGTACCTAAGATGGAGATGTAAGTGATGACTTGTAAACTTTTCACTGTACTCATTTGAATATAGGAAGGATGTTATTAAACTTGAAAGACAACAGAAGAAATTTACAAGGATGTTGCCAGGACTCAAGGGACTGAGTTACAGGAAGAGCTTGGACAAGCTAGGACTTCTTTCTTTAGAGCGTAGGAGACTGTGGGGTGGTCTTTATAGAAGTGTATAAGATGATGAGTGGCATGGATAGGGTGAACGCACTTAGTCTATTTTTGCAGCGTTGGGGAATCAAGGACTAGAGGGCATCAGTTTAAGGTAAGAGGGGAAGCTTTTTTACACAGAGGATGGTACGCATATCGAATGAGATGCCAGCGGAAGTGGTTGAGGCGGATACATTTACAACGTTTAAAAGGCATTTGGACAAATACATGGATAGGAAAGGTTTAGAAGGATATGGGCCAAGTGCAGGGAAATGGGATTAGCGTGGATGGACATCTTAGTTGGCATGGATCAGTTTGGGCTTAAGGGCCTGTCTCCGTGCTGTAGAATTATATGACTCTATGTGACAATAGAGCTCATTCAATTCATAAAGCTAATTCAAGTACAAGGGTAGAGGGTGAGTACAGGCGTAGAGTGGGTGGACGGAGGGTGGGTATAGGATGCAGGATGAATATACGGTGCACAGCCAGTACAGGGCAAGTATAAGACATGGTGAATACAGGGAATCTACCAAAAAAGTAATTCAGGGTAATGGGTAAGTAGAGGGTACAGGGTAAGTACACGTTACAGTGTAATCATAGGACATAGGACAAATACAAGACATAGGTGAAATACAGGGCACAGGGTTAAGTGTAGATTAGTGTCTTTTAGAAAATGGATCTTTAATGAGCTCCACACCTCACTGAAACCTCACTTTAAGTTTCTTAGCTTGCTGGCAGCTCATCACGACTGACTCAGTCCTAATTCACCTTTGATAATCCAAGAGTTGACCATTCAATACATGAGTTGTTGTTGTTGTTGTACTGACAGCAAAATACATTATTACAGTGCATTGTCACTGGAATACTGTTACTCTGTCTGATTAATGCTAAACTTTCTCTGTATTGTTTCTGAAATATTTTTACAATCCATTGACTTGAGCGTATTTTTGCAGTTTGATGTGGATAGGTGCATTCCTGCAGCATTTTTAAAGAATTCAGCCTAATAAAGATATGAGTGTGAATTTAGCTGCAGGTCGTATAAATATAAATATTGCTGTGCATTGGTCTTTATATAGCACTATTTGCAAAAGCGTTGGGTGTACAAGGTTAAGCTATTGCCAGATAGAATCATAAAGTAATACTGCATGGAAACAGGCCCTTTGGCCCAAATTGGTCCATGGTTCCCACTCAGCTAGTTCCAATTGCCTGCATTTGGTCCATATCCCTCTAAACCCTTCCCATCCCTGTACCTATCCAAATGTTTTTAAATGTTGCCACTGTACTTGCCTCAACCACTTTCTCTGGCAGCCCATTCCACATACACACCACTCTCTGTGTGAAGAAGTTGTCTCTCAGGTCCTTCTTAAATCGATCCCCTCTCACCTTAAACCTTCTGGTTTTCAATTCCTCATCCCTGTGAAATAACTATAAGCATTCATCTTATCTAAGCCCCTCATGATTTTGTACACCTCAATAAGGTTACCCCTCATTCTCCTACGTTCCAAGGAATAAAGTCCTATCCAGGCCAACCTTTCCCTGTAACTCAGGCCTACTAGTCCTGGCATATCCTTGTAAATCTTCTTTGCACACTTTCCAGTTTAGCTATGTCTTTCCTATAACAGAGTGACCAAAACTGTACACAACACTCCAAGTGCGGCCTCACCAACAACTTATACAACTGTAACGTAACATCCTAACTCCTATATTCAACGTCTCAACTGATGAAGGCCAGCATGCTAAACGCCTTCTTCACCACCCTGTCCACCTGTGGTGCTGCTTTCAACGAACTATGTACTTGTACTCCTAGGCCCCTCGGTTCCACAACACTCCTCAGGACCTTACCATTTACTGTATAAGTCCTGCCTTGGTTTGACTTTCCAAAGTGCACACCTCACACTTATCTGTATTGAATCGCATTTGCCAATCCTCAGCCCACTTCCCCATTTGATCGAGATCCCTCTAATTTTTGATAATCCTCTTCACCTAATTTTTGCCTAAATACCTCCTAATTTTGTATCATCTGTAAACTTACTATTCATGCCTTGTACATTCACATCCAGACCACTTATGTAAATAACAAATAACCAAGGTCCCAGCACCAACCCCATGGCACACCACTAGTCACAAGCCTCAGGTCCAAAAAACAACTTTCAACCATCACTCTCTGCTTCCTACCATCAAGCCAATTTTGAATCCAATTAGCTAGCTCTCCCTGGATCCCATGCAACCTAACCTTCATGACTAACTTGCCATGCAGGACCTTGTCAAAAGTCTTACTAAGGTTCCTATAGACAACATCTACTGCCCTACCCTCATCCATTCTCTTGGTTACCTCTTCGAAAAACTCTAAAAGAGTTGACAGACATGACTTTCTATGCACAAATCCATGCTGACTGTGAAGATTCCAGTTCACAATTTTGGAACATGGCCCTCACAGAGGCTTGCAACATGACTTTTGAAGTGTGAAGGTCAGTGTGCAGAGATGAAGAGAGGATAACAGAATGACACAGGAAATGTCATTAGGAAATAAGGACATTGGTCTTTATAATGAGGTGTAACATCAGTATTAGAGATACAGATTTTGGACTGACTGTTGTCAAGCCTATTGATAACTTTCCTTGGACTTTGTACAACAGAATAAAACATACCGCAGGTAGGGTCCAGTCTTCACCTGGATATCGTATAACAAGAACCTCCAGTACCCGCTTGCCATTTTTCTCAGTGGCAGAGTTATCTGAGTTCCTCTTAAAGCTGCAACAGAAACCAAATATTGCACTTAATGTGTGTCAGCAAAAGCATGAATGCATTCCCTTATAACCCTGTAGCTTGCTCTCTAATCATTACTCTATGTTTAGTATTGCATTCTCTTGTAAGCCTACAGTTCCCTTCCTAAGCACTGCACAGGTCTGTGGACCTGAAGCAAGTTACTTATGTGATGCTGCATTTTCCAGACATTGCGTTGTATCCCAGGAGTCATCCTGGGCTTCTGAATGAATAAGTCTCCTTCTTTAAAAGTGTTTGGCCTTCCTGAGAGGATGTCAATCGCAGACTGCTCAGTGTTAATTCCAGACAATTGGATTAGACTGATGGTGCACTCCTGGGACAGCCCAAACTCCTTGGGCCTGGTACTTAGCCTAAAGGTACAATCTGGGCTTGTGTGGGTGGATGTTTCTCTCAGCCTAGTGCTGAGTGTGTATGTACTTTAATTGAATGAACTCCTGCCCACTAATTATCCAATTCTTCAACTTGGGCCTGAAGAAATACAATAGAGAGAGAAAAACGGGCAAATGATCACTGTGCTCCTGACACGTAGTTCTATGAGAAACTGCATCACCAGTTAATAAATTGAGAGGATTGAGTAATATTTTTGTTTAAACTTCTATAATAATGTCAGAGACAGATGAAGAAACCTGTGAAACACTGCTAGTGATTATAAGGGACTTAGTGAGACAAGTAATGGTGTTCGTGGGTTTTGAAAAATATGCAATTGATTCCCAGCTACCACAGTTTTCAGAACAGACCCATACAATGAGTGGTCGCAGCAATGGCCTTTTCAGTCCTGAAGTTTCCTCATAGAATCCCTACAGTATGGAAACAGGCCATTCAGCCCAACAAGTCCACATCGCCCCTCTGAAGAGCACCCCACCCAGACCCATCCCCCAACCCTTTACCCGTAACCCTGCATTTCACATGTCTAATCCACCTAATTTACATACCCCTGGATGCTCTGGGCAATTTAGCATGGCCAATCCACCTAACCTGCACATATTTGGACTGTTGGAGGAATCCAGAGCACCTGGAGGAAACCCACGCAGACATGGGGAGAATGTGCAAACTCCACACAGACAGTCGCCCAAGGGTGGAATCAAACTCGGGTCCCTGGCGCTGTGAGGCAGCAGTGCTAACCACTGAGCTACCGTGCCACTTCTGGGGAACATTGAGAGGATGTCCCTGGGTTCATGTGAAAGAAGTCAATACTTCAGATTACATTGGAGGAGATGGTGGTGCAATAGTAATGTCACTTGACTAATAATCTAGAAATCCAGGTACAAATCCTGCCACTGGAAAACAGGAAAAGAAGGCCATTCAGCCGCTTGAGTCTACTCTGCATTCAATAAGATCATGGCAAATCTGCGGCTTAACTCCATATGTCCATCCTGAGAACATACTCCTTGATACCCTTGCTTAATAAAATTTGTCTCAGATTTAAATTTAACAACTGAATTAGCAATGACTGCCATTTAAGGAGAATTCCAACCCCCACCTCCTACTCTTTGCATGTAGAAATGCTTTCTAACATCTCTCCTGAATGGCCTAACCCTGTCCTAGAACCTTTAACCAGTGGAAATAATTTATCTTTATCTACTCGTTTTTCCCTGTTAATATCCTGAAGATGTCGATTAGATCACCCCTTAAACTTTTAAATTATAGAGAATAAAGACCTAATTTGTCTAATCTCTCCTCATAACTTAACCTTGACGTTCAAGGACTGTCCTTATAAACCTGCGTTGAACTCCTTCCTAAGGTGTAGCGCTCAGATGTGCTCAAAATGCTCTAAGTTGGGTCTAACTGGGGTTTTGTATAACTGCAGCATAATGGCTGTGTTCCTATACTCCATTCCTTTACATATGAAAGTCAGTGTTCCGATAGCCTTCTCGATATTTTCTGCACTTGTGTGGAGCATTTTAAAGAGCACCTGAACTCCCAATTTTCATTGGGCTTCCACTATATTTAACTTTGTGCCTTCTAAAAAAAATGCCCAGGGATCTATCTTTTTATGGTCTGAAATGGATAATATCACACTTGTTTATATTTAAAATCCATCTGTCTCAGCTTTGCCCATTCACCATGAATGTCCTGTTGTAACTTTATGTTGTCGTTAACACTGTCTACAATGTTGTATCATCAGCAAATCTGGATATTTGACTTTTTGATCATAGAATCCCTACAGTGTGGAAAGAGGCCATTTGACCCAACAAGTCTGCACTGGCCCTCCAAACAGTGTTCTACCCAAACCCAGACCGCACCTACCTCTGTAATTCCGCATTTTACTACGGCTAATCCACCTAGCCTGTGCATCACTGGACATCACAGACAATTAGCATGGCCAATCTACCTAACTTGCATATCTTTGGACTGTGGAAAGAAACAGGAGCACCCGAAGGAAACCCACGCAGAAACGGGGGGATATGTCTGTGGGAAGTTTGCTGTCACCCAATCGATACTGCGTTGCTGTGAGGCAGCAGTGCTGACTACTGAGCCACCGTGCTGTCCTTTTTACATCATTATCCAAGTCATTAATGAGCAGAGGCTTGTCAGGCATTACCTACCCTTCACGAATCCATGCTGGCTCTCCCTGGTTAACTGAAATTTTTTGACGTGATAGAATCATAGAATCACTGCAGTGCTGAAAGAGGCCATTGGTTCATCAAATCTGTCCTTCAAAGAGCATTCCACCTAGACCCAGATTCTATCCCCATAACCCCACATTTCCGATGGCTAATCCACCTAACCTGCACATTGCTGGACAGTATGGGGCAATTGAGCATGGCCAATCCACCTAACCTGCACATATTTGGACTCTGGGAGGAAACCAAAGCGCCCAGCAGAAACACATACAGATAAAGCTCCCTCTGTCAACCCTCTTAAAAAGCAGAGTGACATGAGCAAATTCCCAATCCAGTGGTACAATTCCTGAATTCAGGGAAATCTAAAGATTATGTTTAGAGCACTGGCAATGTGTTTTCCTGCCTCCTTTCACTTCCATGGATGGAAACAATCAGATTCTGTCACTCTTCAGTTCCATTAATTTCCCCAATAATTGATAATTTACTTAAGCTGATTTTATTTAGTCCCTGTCCCTCTGTTAATTTCTTTGGAACTTCCGACAAGGCATCCTCCTTTTCTGCTCTGAATACTAATGTCAGAAATCACATGACACCAGGGCACAGTCCAACAGGTTTATTCGAAAACTCAAGCTGTCGGAGCCTCAGTCCCTCTTCAGGTGTTAGTGAGAGAGGAAGTGTCAGACACAGAATTTATAAGTAAAAGAACAAGGTTTCACACCATTAATGAGGACGTACTAAACAAACCTAATATGCTGTTAAATCTATAATCAGTTAGAAGGTTTTATTTGATTAATAGGTATATGTAAATCCCTGAATTCCTTTCAAGTCATGGTCCTGAGAGAACTAAAGGTTTTGTCAGTGTAAAGAAGAGGTGATATTTTAGGTCAGATAATGCATGTTAGGTGTGAGGCCTTGTTTAGAATCTGTTTGTGTTTTAATTTGGAGTCAGACTGGCTTTATTTCTAAAGTACAAATTTATAAAACGTCACATTGACCGACTGTCTATAAGTTTTGTGCTTTTCGAACAAAATAAAATGCACCTACAAATGAAAATTCACCCCATAGATTCACATGTGTGCCTTTGTGCATGTGTATGTGTGTGTGGAAGAGAAAGAATGAGTGAGTGAGAGATAGTGTGGTGCGTATGTGTGTGTGTGTTGGGGGGAGAGTGTGTGTGTGTGAGGGAGAGAGAGAGTGTGCATGTGTGGGAGACAGAGAGAGTGTGTGTGTGGGAGAGAGAGTTTGTGTGTGGGGGTGGGAGAGAGAAAGTTTGTGTGTGTGAGTGGGGGTTATAGAGAGAGAGAGAGAGTGTGTGTGTGTGTGTGTGTGTGTGTGTGTGTGTGTGTGTGTGTGTGTGTGTGTGTGTGTGTGTGTGTGAAGAGAGAGAGGCCTGAGAGACAGTGTGTGTATGAGAGAGGATCTGTGTGTG